AAACCACCCAAACCTCCGGTTATTATATAGACTTTGTTTGGATTGAAATAAGTTTTGACGGAAACCAAAAGTTCAGGAACCGGTCTAATGAATGTAATGGCAGTCCTTTCACTTTCCTCGTCCCTCATCTTCACAACAATTTTCCCGATGTGTTCACCGCTTGTCATATAACGAAACGCTTTGTCCGCATCCTTGGCCTCAAACACCGTATAATTTAATGGTTTTATACAATTATTCGTTGAGTTCTTATGCATCCAATCATAAAACTCGTCCAAATAGTGGCTGTCATTCATTATAACGTAATCCATAAAAATTGTGGTGAATTGTATGTCACGAATGGAGTCATTGATTGGCAACTGTTTTCCGTCAATCGTATCATATCTTCCTATTTGTACGAATCGGCCGCTAATCGCCAGACACTCAAAACCTGTGCTCAGTTTCTCACCCATCAGTGAATTGAAAACAACATCCACTCCCTGTCCGTCCGTCGCATCCATTATCTCGTCATTAAAGTACACATCAGTTGAGATGAATATCCGATTCTCCGGAATATTGTGTGTATTAATTAAAAATTGTTTCTTTGTTTCTGTCTCTACCGTCGCATAGATATCGCATTCATAGTGTTTGCATACATTGATAGCCGCCTGACCCACACCTCCGGCTCCCGAATGAATTAAAACACTTTCGTCTAATAATAATTTTTATATTGTAATAATAGTTGCTATTAAATGATATAAAATATGTTTGATAATTGAAATACCTTTTCTAAGATTAGCCTTTTTGATCAGCCCGTAGTGTACTGTACTATATGTGCTCAACACAGTCACCGCCTCTGCCATTGACCAGTGCTCCGGAATAGAAGACATGTATTTATCGATTACGTTAACTGAGTTGCAAAACATGCGCCCGAACTCTAAACCCATCACTCGTTCCCCGGTGTCAGCTCTACGGCCCACATATTCAAACCCCAATAAACAATCGGGGTATAACTTTTCAGGTCCCATTGCAATGTGACCTAGGTAAATATTGATTCAAATGTAAACTTTAGATATGATTTAAAAGTGAGAAATATTAATTTAATTCTAAAAGTGTTATGTTATATTACCGGTTGCATATATGATATCCTTGTCGGTTAGGCCAGAGTAATAAACATGAATTTTAGTTTGGGATGTTTTTATATTATTCATTAAATATTTTTCTTTCACGTCAAGAATACATTAGGAATCAAACCATTGAAGTCCAACCAAATCGCGATTTGATTCCAAATTTAGGTAATAATCATTTGATAAGCATTTGTCGTAACCGTTGGGAAGTTTTAAATGTCTATAAGTTCCCACTTTTCCTCCTTTAATAACATTAGCGACCAAATCGTTGGCCAATATATCAGAATAGGGTTTAGTATTGAAGTCAAAGTTAGTGCCAGTATTGGTGTCCATATGGAAGATATAGCGCAAGTTCTCTCCGCCCGCTTCTAATCGCAAACAATTCATTAAACCTATGATTCCGTTAATATGCGAGTCATTGGCCACAAGCCATATACGCCTATC